GAACAGAAAGCTCCGGCTCTACGAGCTGATACATTTTGCAAGCAGGTGGCCGAGGTAAATCGTGATAAGCATCAGAATGGTCAGATCGGTCAGATTAGAGTAAACAGAAGTTGAAAACACAGTGAAGTAAACAGTGAAGGTTTCCTTGTTGAAAGTGCAGCTTCATTGCTGAATCATTGCAGTGTGACTGCAGGTTTAGAGACTCTCTGTTTTGGACTTCTTTGTAATGTTTGTGCTAAAAGTTTGCAGTTAAGCTTGTTTTCAGTCACTTTGTACAGAACGTTTCAGAAATCAGAGGCATGTTGTACTTAAAGGATGTAATCAAAGTCATTCAGATGTGGTTTGGTGTGAAACACTCCATTCTAGAGAAATTTAGAGTCAGAATTGTTCACAGTGGTGGTGATAGGAACCAGACGTCCACCTCAAAAAGCTCCTTCACATGAAGTTATTGCATGAAATAAACCGCCTGATGTCTGAGACACTGTTTTTGGATAGTTTTTAAGGTTTTGGCTTAAGACATTTCTTTAAAACATGTTTGTGGTGGAAGGATACATTTAAGGGTGGTATTGAGAATGAATTTCCGAGTACTCATTTGGGAACGCAAGTATTTGAGACCTGTAAAGTGCTATCTGGGCCAACCCTGGTGCCTTTTAATGGATGGTTTATTTTTGTAAATAAGATGTGCAAGTGTGAAGAAGGTTCTGCATCTATTGAAAGGCTTTTCCTAGAATTTAACCTTCGAACCAAGAACCATTTAGGAACCTTTATTTTTAAGATGTTCCTGTTGGTTTAACTCAAGTGGCATAAAACAAGTGGTCGCTAACCGAGACGTTGTACTAGAAAGGTGAAAGATGCAATTGGCCAATCAAGCCTAGTTGACTTACATGAAGTCATAACAGTTTCCCACCAAAGCCTGATTTGCACCAAGCTTAGTGAAACAAAAGCTTTCAAATGTTTATGCGAAAATCTGAAGGTTAACAAAGGGAACAAACAAGTCAGTTGAATGCACCTAATTTGATTTTTCATCAAACTTGCTGTTTGAAAGTGCCCAACCCTAAGCTGCAACTCGACCCCACTGCCAAGAATGTCTGTTTCCAAGAACTGCTGCTGTGTCTCTATCTCTGTCAATCCTTTAAGGCCCACGCAGAATTGTTGCTGTTTCTCCCATTTCATCAGCTTTAATCAGGTGATTTCTCAACAAAGTCATTTTTATACAGTTTGTCTCACAAACTACGATTTTAAACAAGAAAATGCATGAATAGAAATATACCCCTGTATGAAAAATGTCAATTTTCTAAGCGAAAATAAGTTTTTCTGCACATTTTAGTACACAACTTCATTTTGCTGGCTGTGCTATAACTTTTGCAATGTGCACATTTTAGGATTCATTTTTAGGTTTTATTTTTTTTTTTGGCAAATAAACTTGTATTAAATTGTGCATTAAAATGTGCAGAAATGTATAGAGAACGTGTACGACGCAAAACGTAATTTGACTGGGGGTGCCAAAACCTTTGGACATGGCTTCATATGAAACATCGGTTGACTTTTCTCGTTAGTGTGATGACATATATCGATAATGAGTGCTCACTGATGGGAATTGCGCTCTGAACGGGCTCACGTTCATCAACAAAAGAAGCCTCGCACATCTTATTAGCGCAGGTAAAAGTAGCAAACAGAAAGCTCCGGCTCTACGAGCTAAAACATTTTGCAAGCAGGTGGCCGAGGTAAATCATGATAAGCATCAGAATGGTCAGATCGGTCAGATTGGAGTAAACAGAAGTTGAAAACACAGTGAAGTAAGCAGTGAAGGTTTCCTTGTTGAAAGTGCAGCTTCATTGCTGAATCGTTGCAGTGTGACTGCAGATTTAGAGACTCTCTGTTTTGGACTTGTTTGTAATGTTTGTGCTAAAAGTTTGCAGTTAAGCTTGTTTTCAGTCACTTTGTACAGAAAGTTTACAGAAATCAGAGGCATGTTGTACTTAAAGGATGTAATCAAAGTCATTCAGAGTGGTTTGGTGTGAAACACTCCATTCTAGAGAAATTTAGAGTCAGAATTGTTCACAGTGGTGGTGATAGGAACCAGACGTCCACCTCAAAAAGCTCCTTCACATGAAGTTATTGCATGAAATACACCGCCTGATGTCTGAGACACTGTTTTTGGATAGTTTTGGCTAAAGACATTTCTCTGAAACATCTTTGTGGTGGAGGAGTACATGCAGGGCATTATAAGGCAAAATAGTCCCCAAGAAAACTTTAGATTTTACACTAATTTAACATTCTATATAAAACTCAGAAGTGTAGGTTCACTGGTGGTTTTGGATAGTAAATAAAATATCTATATCTGTGTTGTAGTCATGGTGACCCCTGGTTCCTATCACCACCACTGTAAAGAAATCTGAGTCTCTACAGTGAACCATTTCACACCACACCACTCTGAATGACTCTGTTTACATCTCAAACACTGAATTACACAGAAATTCTGAAGAAACTCTGCTTTAAGCGTGAGATACAGTCAGACCAATTACAGCAGTTTTAATGCAATACACATTAATGCAAGTGTTCTAAGCCAGTCTTAATAGTTGATGTTGGTCCCGAAATTTGAAGATGTAAAAATGGCCGTGTCAAGAAATCACGTCCTACGCAGTTTTGATTAGATATTGCTCTTTACGAAAACAGATTCTCCCAACTCAGAGAGAATAAAGGTGTGTGCGAAAGTTTGTGCACCCCAGTCCGATTATGTTGATTTTTCTAAGTGAAAATAAGTAACAAACTTAAATTTGGCTTTTAGTGCACAATTCCTATTAATTTACTTTTAAGAAATATAAAATGCAATAACGTTTGCACATGGCACTTTTTAGTGTTTTTCTCCCCAATATGTCAAAAGCATTCAGCAAATAAACAGCAACTTATTTTCACTTAGAAAAAAATAATAATAAAAAAAAAAACATGTCATTTGAACTGGAACGCTTAAACTTTTGGAGATGACTGTGTATTTTTTTGTGCCAAGCAACACTGTGAAGTGAAAACCTACCATAATGAGCTTCTGACAGGGTGGATTATTTCATGCTAAACTAACCACCACATTTCCTGTATTCACACCTTCTATTATCAGCTTTGCAAGAGAAAACTACTTGATGTTCTGTGAATGTAGTAAAACATTCATTAAAAATGGTTAATTGTAGAGACTCAGATGTCTTTACAGTGGTCGTGGTGATAGGAACCAGGGGTCACCATGACTACAACACAACTATAGACATTTTATTCACTATCCAGAACCACCAGTGAACCTACATGAGTCTTCTGAGTTTATATGTAATGATGATGGTAAAATAGTGGGAAATTGTTACAAGCTTGACATCGTAACAGTAGAAGAACGCTGATTGGTGCTATGTAGAACCCTTTTCATTTCACCATGCAAAGAACTATTTAGACATGCAAAGTGTTCATGGTTCTATGTAGAACCATTTTCTTCCCAATAGAACCCTTGAAGAACCATCTTTTTTAGGAGTGTAAGAAATGTGCTGTAGATGGTTCTACATAGAACCTTTTTGAAAAGGGTTCTATATAACACCAAACAGGGTTCTTCTATTTCTACAAGCTTGACATCATACACAATAGAAGAACCCTTTTTTTTGTGCTATACAAAACCATCTACGGCACTAGAACTCTTTCCAGATGCAAAGAACCCTTTAATTATGCAAGGGGTCTTTGAGTTCTTGAAGCTCTTTCTATTTAGAACCATTTTCTTCACTAAAAAACCCTTAAAGAACCATCTTATTCAAGAGTGTGGAGAACATGTTGTAGATGGTTCTATATAGAACCTTTTCGAAAAGAATTCTATATATCACCAAAAAGGTTATTCTGTTGTTACAAGCTTGACATCGTAACAGTAGAAGAACCCTGATTGGTGCTATGTAGAACCCTCAGAAAGGTTCTATATGGAACCATCTACAGCGCAGTAGTTTCCATCAATCTGAAGAAACATTTCACCATGCAAAAGGTACTTTGAGTGTTCATGGTTCTACATAGAACAATTTTCTTCACTAAAGAACTCTTAAAGAACAATTTTTGAAGAGTGTGGAGAACATGTAGATTGTTCTATATAGAACTTTTTGAAATAGGTTCTATATAGAGGTTCTTCTATTACTACAAGCTTGACATCATAACAGTAGAAGAGCCGTTTTTGGTGCTATACAGAACCATCGGCAGCACAGTCTGAAGAACTCTTTCCAGATGCAATGAACCCTTTAATCATGCAAAAGGTTCTTTGACTGTTCATGGTTCTATGTAGAACCATTTCCTTTACTAGAACCCTTGAAGAACCATCTTTTTTTAAGAGTGTAAAGAATGTGCTGTAGATGGTTCTACATAGAACCTTTTTGAAAAGGGTTCTATATAGCACCAAACAGGGTTCTTCTATTGTTACAAACTTGACATCGTAAGAGTAGAAGAACCCTGTTTGGTGCTATACAGAAACAACCAGATGCAGCGAACTTTTTAGTCATGCAAAGGGTTCTTTGAGTGTTCATGGTTCTGTATAGAACCATTTTCTTTACTAGAACCTTTAAAGAACCTTGAAAAATTCACAGTTGTCCAATATTTGAAGATTTACATGTTCATTTTCTGTACAGTAACTTAAGTTAATGGTTTGTTTCTATTACAGGTGAAGCTTAAATGCCCTGTTATGAAATCTGAAGTATAATCTCTTCTAATTGTCGTAGAATTACAGTTCAAAGTCTTCAGTGTAAGTAATCAGGTACAAACACAGGTATGTTAGTCCAGTTTACTGTCATAGGCTCCGCCCCTGCTGATAAGCCCAATAAGAGTAACCCAGCCAGATCAGTGTATATGAGTCCATATCCTTGAATGCGTTCTGACTGTAGTGAACACAGGTAGCTGTGGATCTCTATGGGTTAGTATTAATCAATGAGGCTGTCTCGGCGTCCAGGTAAACCAATCGGTCATTGTGTGCGAAGGTGCAGGCGTATCCAGTGTCTTACCTGAGGGAGCGAGTGAGCCACAGAGGGCGAGGATCCATAATAGGAGACCAACTGCCATTGTGGGTGTGCGGACAGCTACTGAAACAGAAGAGCTGAGCGAGCGAGCTCTTTATGGGTCACCTGCGCTCGCCCCGCCCACCCAAACACAGCGAGAACTTTGAGGAAGTGAGGAAAGATGTGCTCAAACACGCTCTAGAGAGACCGTAGAGGAAGTGCAGACGTGCTGTGATGCAACCGAGCTCAAGGGAATCATTACTGCAGTTTCAGTCCAGTGTCAACACAGCGGCACTCCTTACTGCCCGCCGCTCTGACTGTACCACTGAGAAGAAGGACACACTGGAGATATGAACCCACACAGCTGCTGCCCTCAGGTGCTCTGCTTTCTGTTGTGTACAGTTTGAGGGAATGTAAAATAATACTGAAAAATATATACATGACATATGCTAAATAGTATAACTGTATATCAAATAAGTGTTATACAGTTATAAAAATAAAGATGAAAATCATATATTTTAAAAGCAACAACAACTACAATAATAATAATAATAATAATAGTAATAATAATAATAATAATAATAATAATAATTAAAATTCATAAATAAAAAATTATACAATAAAAACAACATTTAAAATATTAATATCTAAAATAAAATGTAACATGGTCATGAAAATAAAACTATAACAAATAAAAAAAAATAAAAACATTAAAGGTAAGGTATATTAAAAGCTTACCTTTGCAGTGAAGTACTTCCAGTTCCTGTGTGTCACGTTTCGGCCCTCGGTCAGCTGACTGTGCCGTTTACATTCTCCATATAATCTTGATTCATTCATGAAGTCATTTCCTTCCTCCTCGCGCCCCACCTCTCCTCAGTGACTCATACATGCTCCACAAATAGATCAGTAAAGTGAAATGGTTCAGAATGGTTGGTGAGAGCCAGCAGAACGGACTGAAGACCACCACCGCACTGCATTCTTTAGTCCTCCAAACACAAAGTCAGTGGCCAAGGACAATAAAGGGGTCAGTATTCTGACGATTCCTGCATCCTCCAACAAAGCCATTGTCCACCACCGTGAAATGGAGAAAGCATGCACTGTCTTTCTAGGGTGGAGGGTCTGTTACTGGCCCATCTCTCTCTCTCTCTCTCTCTCTCTCTCTTTGACCTTTTCTGGACTCCTCGTTGTTTTTCCCACTGAACTTGGTGTCATTTCTTCTTTTCTTTCAGCAGATTTAGATAGGTTAGATAGGTTGATTATATATATATATATATATATATATATATATATATATATATATATATATATATTCCACCACTTGTCTGGGAAGCTTTCCACAAGATTTTGGAGTGTGTCTGTGGGAATTTGTGCTGGACGGGATGGCTTGGCTCATTCCAATTGATCCCAAAGGTGTTCAGTGAGGTTGAGGATCAGGACACTGTGCAGGCCACTGGAGTTCCACCGCACCAAACTCGTTAAACCATGTCTTTATGGACCTCGCTTTGTGCACAGGGGTCCAGTCATGCTGGAATAGGAAAGGCTCTTCCCCAAACTGCTGCCACAAAGTTGGAAGCATATCATTGTCTAAATTGTCTTTGTATGTTGTAGCATTAACATTACCCTTCACAGGAGCTCAGGGGCCCAAACCCTGAAAAACAGCAGAAAAACAACAACTGTACTGTTGACACTGTGCAGTCCGGTAGGTATCGTTCTCCTGGCATCCACCAAACCCAGATTCATCCATCAGACTGCCAGATAGTGAAGCGTGATTCGTCACTCCAGAGTCCAGTGGTGGCGTGCTTTACACCGCTCCAGCCGACACTTGGCATTGTGCATTCTGATCTTAGGCTTGTGTGGAGCTGCTGAGCCATGGAAACCCATTTCATGAAGTTCCAGATGAGCAGTTCTTTTGCTGATGTTGCTTTCAGAGGAAGTCTGGAACTCTGGAGTGAGTGATAGAACAGAGGATAGGTGCTCAGCTCTCGGCGGCCCGCTGACTTGTGGCAAAGGTGGCGTCCTATGACAGTGACATAGAAGAGGGCCATGTTTAAAGTCACTGAGCTCATCAGTACAACTCATTCTACTGCCAGTGTTTCCCTATGGAGACTGGATGGCTATCTGCTTGATTTTATACCTGTTAGCCATGGGTCTGTCTGAAACACCTGAACTCAATCAGTAGGATGGGTGTCCACAGGCTTTTTGGTCATAGCAAAATCAAGATTATACTGATTATACTAATTTGCTTACATCCTCAGAAGACACATCCTTCACCAAGTTCTCTTTGAATTTATGCATTTGCAATCATCAGATTCATCTACTTTGGAAAGGAACCCGAACCACATTACACAATGTTCTTCCGCAATACATTTCAAACAGACTGGATCATCAACAATGATGCGAAAAATGAACTTAAGCAAATAAGAAAAACTGCAAACTGTGCTTATTTGAAGGCCTGAGTGCTCATTACTCCCAGGCCTTTTAGACCACTGTTGCCTGTTGGCAGTCATTAACTATATTACCACATAAGTAACATGGGGTATGGTATTTAATTCTGATTGTCTGAGATCTACAGCTGTCTAATAACTGATTTTAAGTAGTGCCAGAGTGTTGGTCCTGTCATATAGAGACTGCTGGGTCGCTCCCTTGTCATGCCACAGCCATCCATAGACAGCATAATTGTCTTCGCTCTCTCTGGATGAGTAAGATGGTTCTCTCTCTTTCCACCACTCAGTGTGACACTAGCCAATGCGGGCATCTGTTAGCTGGCCTTACACAGTTAGCAGTCAGTTTTCTCCTCCAAGTATGTTGAGCTCCAATGATGTTGTCTTAGCAACAGTTTGAAACGTTTCTGTGGTGCTTCATGTGCATTGGAGCATGCTTGTGCTAGTCTTCACCCTTCCAGCTTGATGGCATCTGTCCAAGTAAGCTAATGCTGTCAATAGGCCAGGGTTTATTTAAGCTGGTGTAACAAACCATTTTAGTCAAACCTCGAGACTATAAATGCAACCACTCACTGGACCAAATTTATGTAGATTAAGTGTTATTTTGCAACATGAAAAATAAAATGTTAAGAACATAAACAGAATGGCTAGTGAAGTGCTATTAGATTTCCAAGACATTATCAACATATGCCAGTTTTAAGGCATTTTTGGGTTGCTGTTAACCTGTAAATTGGTGGGCAACCAGATAAAACATTATTTTAGTCTTTCAGGTAAAGGGAGCCTCCTGTTTTGAAAACATAAACCAAATATGGACATCTACTATTGGAAACATACTGCAATAACATTGACGGATATTGACATAGTGGCCTTGTAAAAGTAGCAAAAACCAGTTAGGTGAAAAACAATCAGACAAATCAGGACATAATTAAGCCCCAAAAAAAGGAATTTAGGAAACTAAATTTGATGGAAATAGTTCTGAGTAAACAGCAGATTCCTTTCCTCTTCAGAATAATTAGAACCGCATAGCCAGTGCAATCACAGATTTGTACTTGAGGTGAACTCTTGCTAGGCTAAAGTAAAATGGTTTAGGCAGTTGCTCTTCTACATGGCGGTCAGTATTGGTGGCATGACAACTTTGCATAACAGTTAAAAGCAGAAGCCTGTAGCTCGGTAGCTTTATCTTCAGGCTTGTTCCACTTAACCACTAATGACGTATTAGCACAGGACTGTTTTCTCTAGGTCAGTTTCTGTATGTTTCACAACTGATGGTGTTCTTGACAACAAATCGTGCTGATGTCTACACTGTTCTATGCATCCATGCAAACATATATTCACATATATTGCAAATGGACACCATTACATATACTGAAGCTACATATATGTGCATACATTTTAGCGTTCACATATATTGGCATATTTTTAAATGCTGCAATGGCACAAGGTCAAGTCTGAAATGGTGGCTTGAACTGTGGCCTCCCACATGAGGCCTACAAATACTAACCACTACATCTACCCAGCAAGCACACAACATTGTCACAACATTGTCTACTTTCTTCCAACGTTGCTACAGCGTTGCCAAAAGGCGGTGCTGTTTACGAGGTCTGGACAAGGTCGTCACAACGTTGTCACAACCCTTATTCAGTAAGGTTGCTGTGCGGTGTTATGACTACCGGTTAGCAACTTGGCAAAATTCCATGCACAACATAATGGAACTTATCAAGATTCTAGAAGGTTGTGACAACGTACTGAAAACGTTGTCACAACGTTGTCACAATGTAACTGTGTTTGTTGGGTAGAAACTGAGTAAAATAAGGGTTGCTTGTTCTAGTCTGGATTCCCATACAGAAAAGAATGTGTTTATAGTATGCATTTCAACATGCATGAAAATAGTATGTATTATTGCTTAATGTTTGAGACAATATATCTGAAATGTATCTCACATATAAAAAGTACATGCTCATGTATTTCTTTTCCATGCAGGTTTACTCGATAGCTTCAATAAAAGGTTTCGATTAACCTACAAAACCCATCATCTTTGGTGGAAGTTTGCATGTATTGGAATATATTGCACATATATTTAAGATATATACATACATGTTCTGGGTGAACATAAAACGTGGCCTGTTATGGCACATTTTGTGTTTTGTTTATTTGCAATATGTTAAACTCAGCAAACAACTAAGATTTGCAGGAAAGTGCCATACATTGGTGCGTTACCTTTAGAGAATGTGTTTTCACTTGCAACATCAGTTGAACATCATTTGACCAGGTGTTTTCAAAATTTTGCATATGATTATAAGTGTGAGGTTTTATGTCTCAAAATGAAGAGAATGCAGACTGTTATTCATGATTCCTGCTGTTGTGATAAGCATTGCTAATCAGTGTAAATAACGACGGGTGAATAAATCTGGAGGATTGATAGGAGGGGCGGCTGTCTTTGGAGACTCCGGTGAACAAATAATCACGATGGTAGTCACAGTGACACATTTCCTTTATGCTCAGGCTCGAACATAACACTAAACTGCAGGGAATGTTTGCTGTGTCAACATTTCACTTAGCATGCAGCGTTTGGGCCAGACGCAGGACATGGGAAAGACTGTGGAAAGCAAATGTCAAAACAAAGGCAAAGCCAAATCCTGGACATTTTAGGCAACAGACTCTTTTCACACTTGAGGCAGTTGTCATAGTAGAGAAAACATTACAGTAGTGGTGGCGTTTATGAACAAGAATGCAGACATAGTCCTCCTTTATAAGAATAGCTAAGAATAGCTCAGCTAGTTTGCATAGAAGTCCCTGTAGTTACTGAATAATAAGCCTTAGTATGTAAAAACTCTGGGATTTTAAGGGGTTATTTTTTATGTCATCTATCACAGAAATGTAGATATTCAAACTGTAACAATCAATCAATCCATCAATAATGTTGTTTTGTACAGTTATAAATGACCAGATCAGTGTTCCTATATAAGCTAACCAATATAATGTTCAGTTACTTCAGTGTTTTAGCAATAATATCACTATTGTTAATGTTTACAAACAGGCATAAGTAGCGTACATGTAATGTAGACCTTGTGAAGCTTGCTTCACTTTGAAATGAAAACTGCTTCACCAAACGAACAGCAGCTTTTGTTGAAAAAGTAGAAAAAAACCTTAATAAGAATGTAAAAAGGTGCAAGTCTTCAACATTCTCATTAATAAACACTGCCACTACTGCAATGTTTTCCCTACTATAGCAACTTCCACTGTGTCGAATATGGAAGTGTGAAAAGGTTCTAGCTAGACAGGTTTTTAGGGCCAAAAAAGAGGATGTATGGTCAGCCTACCCCAGCCACATTAGCATGGTGGTGTTTGTGACAGAGAGAGAAAATGAGTTCTAATGAATAAGTGAATAAAGGACTAGGTAAATAAGTGTAGGTTCTCTA